TTTGCCTCAGTCTTTAATGAGGCTAATGAGGAGCTTAGGGATAACTGTAGGATGACAAATGGGACTGAGGATATAGAGGTAGATTTTACCACATCCAAGGTAGAAGCCAAACTTGAACAGCTTAATGGGACTAAATCGGGGGGCCCCAGATAATCTTCATCCAAGAATATTAAAGGAACTGGCACATGAAATTGCAAGACCATCAGCAAGAATTTTTAATGAATCTGTAAACTCAGGGGTTGTACCGTATGAGTGGAGAATTGCTAACGTAGTTCCTATTTTTAAGAAAGGGAAAAAACGTGATTCTGGCAACTACAGGCCTGTTAGTTTGACATCTGTAGTATGCAAGGTCTTGGAAAAAGTTTTGAAGGAGAAAGTAGTTAAGGACATTGAGGTCAGTGGTAATTGGGACAAAATACAACGTGGTTTTACAAAAGGTAGATCATGCCAAACCAACCTGATCTCCGTCTTTGAGAAGGTAACAGATTTTTTAGGCAAAGGAAATGCAGTGAATCTAATTTACCTCGATTTCAGTAAGGCATTTGATACGGTTCCACATGAAGAATTATTAGTTAAATTGGAAAAGATGGGGATCAATATGAAAATTGAAAGGTGGACTGGTTAAACTAGAACTGGTTAAAGGGGAGACTACGATGGGTGAAAGGTGAACTGTCAGGCTGGAGGGAGGTTACCAGTGGAGTTCCTCAGGGATCAGTTTTGGGACCAATCTTAATTAATCTTTTTATTACTGACCTTGGCACAAAAAGTGGGAGTGTGCTAATAAAGTCTGTGGATGACACAAAGCTGGGAGGTATTGCCAATACAGAGAAGGACCGGGATATCATACAGGAAGATCTGGATGACCTCGTAAACTGGAGTAATAGCAATAGGATGAAATGTAACAGTGAAAAATACAAGGTCATGCATTTAGGGATTAATAACAAGAATTTTTGTTATAAGCTGGGGACTCATCAGTTGGAAGTAACAGAGGAGGAGAAGGACCTTGGAGTATTGGTTGATCACAGGATGACTATGAGCCGCCAATGTGATATGGCCGTGAAAAAAGCTAATGCGGTCTTGGGATGCATCAGGTGAGGTATTTTCAGTAGAGATAAGGAGGTGTTAGTACTGTTATACAAGGTACTGGTGAGACCTCATCTGGAATACTGTGTGCAGTTCTGGTCTCCCATGTTTAAGAAGGATGAATTCAAACTGGAACAGGTACAGAGAAGGGCTACTAGGATGATCCGAGGAATGGAAAACCTGTCTTTTGCAAGGAGACTCAAGGAGCTTGGCTTGTTTAGCCTAACCAAAAGAAGGCTGAGGGGAGATATGATTGCTCTCTATAAATATATCAGAGGGATAAATACCAGGGAGGGAGAGGAATTAGTTAAGCTCAGTACCAATGTGGACACAAGAACAAATGGATATAACCTGGCCATCAGGAAGTTTAGACTTGAAATTAGGCGAAGGTTTCTAACCATCAGAGGAGTGAAGTTCTGGAACAGCCTTCCAAGGGAAGCAGTGGGGGCAAAAGACATATCTGGCTTCAAGACTAAGCTTGATAAGTTTATGGAGGGGATGGTATGATGGGATAGCCTAAATTTGGCAATTAATTGATCTTTGACAATTAGCGGTAAATATGCTCAATGGCCTATGATGGGATGTTAGATGAGGTGTGATCCGAGTTACTACAGAGAATTCTTTCTTGGGCATCTGGCTGGTGAGTCTTGCCCACATACTCAGGATTTAGCTGATCGCCATATTTGGGGTCGGGAAGGAATTTTCCTCCAGCGCAGATTGGCAGAGGCCCTGGGGGTTTTTCACCTACCTCTGCAGCGTGGGTCACAGGTCACTTGCTGGAGGATTCTCTGCACCTTGAAGTCTTTAAACCATGGTTTGAGGACTTCAACAGCTCAGACATTGGTTAGGGGTTTATTACAGGAGTGGGTGGGTGAGATTCTGTGGCCTGCGTTGTGCAGGAGGTCAGACTAGATGATCATAATGGTCCCTTCTGACCTTAAAATCTAACTCTGGGAGACTAACCTGCAGCTAGCAGAGAGAGTAAACCTGAAAGCTAGTCCAGAACTTTAATGATGTCTTCACCACCAGGCCTGTGAACACTCACCTCCTAGAGCACCACATACAAATTATCCCAGGAGTCAGTGCACAGAAGAGAGGCTTCTAAATCCCTGAATGAACATGGGAGATTTTCAAGAGGGAGATAGAAAATAGGTTAGAACGAGGGGTAGCCGAGGAGTTGCAAAGTGAATGGTGCAGCCCAATTGTTCTAGTTCCCAAGTCAGACAATAGCGTTCATGTTTTGTGTTGATGTTAGAACAGTTAATATATAATGATGAGGTCTAAATTAGGTGTTACCACTCAAGAGATCTTGGAGTCATTGTGGATGGTTCTCTGAAAACGTTCACTCAATGTACAGCAGCAATCAAAAAAGCGAACAGAATGCTGGGAATCATTAGGGAAGGGATAGATAATAAGACAGAGAATATCATATTGCCTCCATATAAATCTATGGTATGGCCACATCTTGAAAACTGCGTGCAGATATGGTAGTCCCATCTCAAAAAAGATATATTGGAATTGGAAAAGGTTCAGAAAAGGGCAACAAAAATTATTAGGGGTATTGAACAGCTTCTGTTTGAGCAAATATTAAGAAGACTGGACTTTTCAGCTGGGAAAAGAGACGACTAAGGGGGGATATGATAGAGGTCTATAAAATCATGACTGGTTTGGAGAAAGTAAATAAGGAAGTGTTATTTACTCCTTCTCATAACACAAGAACTAGGAGTCACCAAATGAAATTAATAGGCAGCAGGTTTAAAACAAACAAAAGGAAGTATTTCTTCACCCAATGCAGAGTCAACCTGTGGAACTCCTTGCCAGAGAATGTTGAGAAGGCCAAGACTATAACAAGGTTCAAAAAAGAACTAGATAAATTCATGGAGGATAGGCTATTAGCCAAGACGGAATGGTGTCCCTAGCCTCTTTGCCAGTAGCTGGGAATGGGTGACAGGGGATGGATCACTTGATGATTGTCTGTTGTGTTCATTCCCTCTGAAGCACCTGGCATTGGCCACAGTCAGAAGACAGGATATTGAGCTAGATGGACCATTGGTCTGACCAGTATGGCTGTTCCTACATTCTTATGTTCTAATGCCATGTCAAAGTTCAGCTCAAATCCCATGCTGATGTAGATGAGTTGCTGGATAGGGCCCAGTTCATGACCACATTCGACCATATTAAAGCTACTGGCAAATTCCTCTGGCACCAGAATCCATAGAAAATTTGCTACCCCATTTTGGCCTATGTCAGTTCTGAACCCTCCCATTTAGATTCTGTGGGGTGCCTGCCACCTTCCAGTGACTAATGGACAGGGCATTACGGCCCTCTCGGCAGTACGCTGCTGCCTAGCTCAACAATGCTGTAATCTATTCTAGTCCATGGGGAGAGCATCTCCAGAGGATTGCTGAAGTTTCTAAGGGAAGCAGGCCTAAGTGCAAGGTGAGTAGTACCAAAATTTAACACTTAGACCTTGGAGAATGGGTGAATCTGACCCTTGGCCAGCTAAGTGAAAGTCCCGCTAGAGTTCCCAATCCCTGCCCACCAAAAGGCAGGCAAAGACATTCCTGGGGTTATCAGGGTATCACAGATGCTTTGTCTCCAGGTTTTCCCCTAACAGCACCCCTCCCAGACCCCTAAAGGACAAGCCCCTCAAAATGTCCAATGGACACCGGCTTGTGCAGGTACATTTGGCGCAGTCAAGCGCATCTTGTGTAGTAAACTGGACCTGCTGAGTCCAGATTTTACAAAAGGAGTCATACTACAAAGTGATGCCTCTGAGGTGGGACTTGGGATGGTTGTATTGCAGGTGACGGAGGATGGAGAACACCCCATCCTAAATCTCAGTAGGAAGCTTCTCCCACAGAAGAAGAACTATTCCAATATAGGAAAGGAAAGTCTTGCAGCGAAGTGGGCAGTGAAGACATTATGATACTACCTCCTGGAAGCACCCTTCACCCTGGTCACGGACCAGGCCCCCCTTAAATAGCTGCAGGCTATGAAAGATGACAACCCCAGACTCACGCCCTGCAGCCATTTGCTTCTTGGTGCACCACAGCACATGGAAACACCAATTTTTTTCCCCATAAGGGGCAGGTGACGTTTTCACAGAGCGTGCCCTTTGCCACACTTGCAGGAGTGCATGACAGGGTAAAAAGGCACTCCCTAGCCCAGACCCTAACAGGTTAATGCAGCAGCCAATTAACCCTGCTGCTTAGAGGGAGCAAGGGACATATAAAGGGCTTCCTGGGAGATGGGGGAACAGCTGGGTCTGAGCTGGAGTCCCACCCTGAGGTCTACATGGGGAGACCATTGGTTGCAGTTTCCGTCTTTGTTTCGCTATAGCAGGTTTTGTTCTGTTTGGACACCCTATGTTTTCATAAAGAAGGCCCTGTGGAGAAGGGGCCACAACTAACTGAAGGCTGCCTAACTATTTTAGTTTTGTGCCTCCAAAACACCCCTGTTTGCTGCTCCAGTTCATCAGTTCAAAAGTCCCACCCCATCCTCCCCCTCCTTCTCCCCTTGGCATCTGACTTATCACCTAAGCCTCACTGGCCAGCTCTCAGTACCAGTGACATATTCACCCCACAGAGACTTCAACCACTGAGGCTGATCACAGACCCAAAAGTCCAAGCCACATAGCTCTCACTGAGGCACAAGCATCCCAGTCTCATCTGGCCTATTCATGGCCTCAAGGCCCAGCCACACAACCCTTGCAGAGAACAGAAATAGGCAGACTTAATGCACCATTCATCTAGTCCCTCTACACACAAGCACAGACTCCACAGCTACACCCTCTGAATCGCCCGTTTGCTATTCCTGTTCACCTGGGATGCTGGGAGCTCATGGCAGCACTTCAGCAAACCCAGATTTTCACCTCATTCACTGACAGTTCCCAAACGGTTTAGTTTATTCCTCACCTGCGCAGGTGCCACTCAGCATCTCCTTTTCATCGTAGCTCTGGAGAGTGGGGACCCGCAGCTCTTCCTCTCATTCCCGGCTGGAGATCATGTCTTGTTTGGGAATGGGAAATCCTGCTCAGGGGAGGAGAAATGGGCAAGATCAGGGCTTGTCACCTCTTCACCAAAGATTTGCTACACAGATCCCTCTGGGGTTTAAAACCCAGCCCCTCTCTTTGCTGAGGGAACATTTCACCTGCACAGAAAGGAAATACCTCCTGGGAAGTGTGTTGTGCCGCATACAAAATTCAGGGATCTCCACACACTGAGGGACTTGACAAAAAGCAAAAACAAGCCACTTGCACATCTCTAACCAGGCCTATTAGAGACCAGAACCAGCCCTTGGGGCGGAGGGACCCCAGGCAGGACAATGTCCTAGTTCTGTCCCCCTTTGAAGCCCTGAGCAGAGGGAGATCAGCAGCAGTGCAATGTCTCTCAACCTCCTTCCCAGAGGGACGGTATGGGAGGTGACAAAGGCATTGGGGCCATCAGGGCAGAAAGCATGGTTGGAATGGGCCCCAACAGGTGGCCCCTTGGCTGGGGCTGCAGCAGTGCAGGAGCAGTGATTGCTCTCTACTAGCACTGCCTGCGCCCACTTATCTGTCTAGCAGGACTGCCTCCACCCTTACCCCACCACAGGGAGAAAGACAATGATCTGAGACTCAGAGTTCCCCATCAACATGGGGAGGGGGAGAGAGGCCAGCTCCTGCTCCCCACATGGGGGTCAGGGAAGACTCTCTCGGCTACTCCAGTTCTTCCATGTGGTGGGGAGGGCTGGGAACAACCTCAATGGAAGCTGCTGCTGGGCAGGAAGGGAATTGGGCTAGAGTGTGACTTGGGGGTGTGAATGGGGAGGTGAATGTTGTGTGGGAGATGTAGGGCAGAGTGCTGGGATGACGAGTGTGTGAGTGGTTTGGTCTGTAGTGACAAGGTGCCTGGTATAGGAGTTGCGGGGGTGGGGGTGTGACCATCATGGGGGGGTGTGAGTGGAGAGTGGTGATTTTGGGAGGCTGAGTGAGAGACTGGGCTGGGGAAGAGGTGGAGAAAATCTTGGCCAGGGCTGAGGATGATAGTAAAGAATGGAGGGGGGAGAGAGCTTGGGTCAGGGAAGGAAGGGAGGATGGAAAGAGAAGGAAAGAAAAGGGAGAGGGAGAGAGACAGCAGCATGAGAGAGGGGAAAGAGCAAAATAAGGGAAAAGGGAAGGATGGTAGGAGAGCACTAAGGAGCAAAAGGGAGTTCCCTGGTGAACACAGTATTTACCAGAGCACAGCAAGAATACGGAGAACATCTGCCTAGAATGGGGCAGCAGTGGGAATTCCTCTGAGCCCAACTGCCCCAGCCCCCCACAGAGGAGCTGACACCCCTCCCAGCCCAGAAATTACTTGAGCATTTATGGGTTGCTTGAAGTAGAATGCATAGGATATTTCCACCAGCCAGGGCCAGGGGCCAGAGAAGCAACCTTGGGAGCTTCAGAGACTACAAAGCTCCTAACACTCATGAGGAAACCCGTCACTCTCCTGCAGTGTCCCCGCAGAGTCACCCTCAGGGCCCCTTTCTGCCTAGGAGAAAGACATGACCACTTCCTCAAATGCTGGCAGCTGGAACAAGTATCCCCAGCTCCCTGCCTGCTTCAACCCCACTGGGCAGGGAAGGGGCTCCCAGGTTTGGCCCAGATTCCCTTACCTTATGCACCCTGGAACAATAATAGCTCCCATGAATCCTGGCTTAGACTCATCACTCCCAGCTGGGCCTTTATACCCAGGGTGCCCACACTCCAGACCCACTTCCCTCGCCCCATACAGACTGCTGCTCTCTCCCTGTCAATAACGACTCAGAAGGAAGCAGCCTACAGAAAACACACTTCATAGCTCCATCCTGTGCCCACTGTGTGTCCATGTGTGACCCATAGTAACCCCATGTGGGTCTTTGTCCCCCACAACAGGATTTATGAGGCTGCTGCTCGTAACAACACCACAGCTGGGAGATCAAGCCCAAGACCTCTTAAGCTAAGGGCATGAGCCTCTACTGCTTGAGCTCATGGCACAGGTCCATTAACTTTCAGGCAGTGGCGGAGTCAAACTTCTGAGCTCTGCTTTACCAGCTTGGGTACAAAAATCTACACTTTGCCACTGGGAATTGCTTGGTGCCTTTACTATGGTGAAGACCCAGCACCTTCCACCAGCACTAAATGCACAGACATGTGTATCATGTCCCTTTAACAGAGCCTGAACTAAACACTGTAAAAGAGAAGAATAAACAGCTACACTGTGGGGAGTGTCCCCGGAGCAGCATCATTATTAGGCAGAGACAGGGCACTGCCTTTTAGTCTCACTCCTGTTAGACTAAATCTGCCCAGGGATGAGGCAGTAACGGGTCTGGGCAGCACTATTCTTGGACCTCGTCAGCTCTTTTTTTATTTTTCCTATCCCCTTCAATCTCCTTCCTTTCTCTCTCCTCCCCCTCCAGCTGGGAGAGTTGGTTATTGTTCCATTTCTGCATACATGCTCGCTCCAATATCGGGATCAGCTAAGAGCCTGTGTGTGCCAATAAAGCAGCAGATCTGTGACTCACAGACACACATGGAGCAGAGATGGGGGAGGTGAAGCATTTTTACAGAATCACTTTCCCCAAGTTCTCTCAATTACCTGGAATTTCCATCTCAGGAGTTAGTGTTTGCAGAGTCCGGAGCTTCCCCTAGGAGGCTAGTTACAGTCGGAGACAGTCCCCAGCATGGCTAGTAACAGAAGGTTCTTTAAATAAGGCAGATAGTGTAGAGAGGAGAGGAGGGAAGCAGCAGTTGCTCAGTCTAGGCTCCTGGGAAGAAAACAGGCAGCTGCAGCAGCAACCCTCATCATGTGACAGTGGTAAAGGAGAGAGAGAGAGAGTCCTTTCTTCCAACACTGAACAAGGAACTGGCATGTGACAGTGGTAACCAATCAGAGAGAGAGTTGATTTCTCCCAACGCTGAACAAGGAACTTTATTAGAACAAGGAAAACAGTATTATCCCTAAAGCCATTCTCTCTCTCTGCTTCCCTGCTGAATTTCTACTTAGAATCTTACCCAGCCCTGCTCCCTTGCCTAGCTTCCTGTTACAGATTTAAAGCCACAGCATACATATCCTCACAGCTGCTTAACTATTTAACTTGTCTGTACTGTCACGTCTGCAATGGGGCCAACACACTGGGCCATGCAACTGTATTTGTTCAGGAAGGCATGTGACACCCAAGCAAGGGAAACTGGTTTGGCGCTGGTTTTGAGGATAACAGCAACCAAGGTCACAGCACAATGCAGCGCAACACAATGTACAAGACACAGCTAATCCAAAAGCAGATGAAAGGGAACAGTACACAGATGCTAAGCATCCGAACTCCCGTGTGGCTCTTCTCAGCCTTCCCAAGCTTTGCATAACAAAGACAATTTGTATAACAAGGACAATCTAAGTTTAGAGAGGTTTCAGAGTAGCAGCCGTGTTAGTCTGTATTCGCAAAAAGAAAAGGAGGACTTGAGGCACATTAGAGACGAACAAATTTATTTGAGCATAAGCTTTTGTGAGCTACAGCTCACTTCATTGGATGCATGTAGCTCATGAAAGCTTATGCTCATATAAATTTGTTAATCTCTAAGGTGCCACAAGTACTCCTTTCTTTTTAAGTTTAGAGAGCCACTCAAGATCGTGCAACAGAAAAGCCCTTCTATACATAACCTATGAGTAGACTTGGATGGATTAGATTTTTGTTGGTAAATGTCAATTTAATCATGTACACACAAACCCACCAAAAATATTTCCATTGATAAACAATATTTACAGATAGGCAAAATAAGAAAAATGCTGCTCGAGAACTTTAGAGTTTGAGTTAAGGATCGGTACTGTATATATTTTGCATATGATGTTGATCATTGTGTTTTAATGGTAATAAAGCTTTAACTCTTTGAATCTCAACATTTACTGTCATTAAATAATTAGTCAGACCCCCACGCCACTGTTTGACTCTCCCCCATAATTTCCCACAACTGGGAATATTTAAATAGATAAAAGTTTTTAAAATGCTTAACATAATTTTGCACAACTGTGAAAATTTAAATTGATAAAAATAGAAAAATGCTTAAAAAGAAACAACTTCAGTAAAAATTATTTTAAAAAAACAAAAACAAATTCTGCCAAGACTGCCTATCAGATGGGGAAATGCAGAATGCTACACATCCGTATGTGTACACCAGGAACAGAAAGGCCGCATTGCTGTTTCTTGGGTAGATCATGGTATTTGTTCCCCACTGAAAGTAGTTCTCTATTGAAAACATTGTGCCATGCTGCCACAGCATTAGAACAAGAGGAACACTGGTATGGACCAGGGACTTTCAGATGACAAGATGATAGATGTAGATGATCTACTTTTCAAACTCTAAAAAGAACGACAGGTTTCAGAGGAACGGCCGTGTTAGTCTGTATTCGCAAAAAGAAAAGGAGTACTTGTGGCACCTTAGAGACTAACAAATTTATTTGCGCTCAAACTTCTGAGCCTAAACCCAAATAAATTTGTTAGTCTCTAAGGTGCCACAAGGACTCCTCATTCTTTTTGCTGATACAGACTAACACGGCTACAACTCTGAAACATTTTCAAATTGTGTTGGCTGTACAATGATGTAATGTTACAAACAGGTATCGGGGTTAATTGTCCCCTGTACATATGACTGACATCTATAAACAATTCTCTGGGTTCATCTGGAATTTGATTGCATCAGAGCCTCATTAATTCTCACTCAGAGCAGGAAGGCTCATTGCAAATCAGTGCAGCTTATGAAGCAGCATAATAAAAAAAGATTGTCAGAGTTTTGACAATTGTTTAATTTACAGATGCATCTTTTCTAAAAATAATAAAATTTTAGCATTCTTCGGACCTCACCGCCAAGTTATTAGTATAGGCAGCATTTGGGGGGGGCACATGGGAGGCATTGTCCCCCCAAACTGCAAGCCTCAGGGGCAGGCAGCCTAATGTACAATGTAATGAGTTCTGCAGAGAAGGAGACGAGCTGCTCCCAGCTTGTGCTTCTGAAGCAGAGACTCAGAATATTGTTTATAAACAGAGTGATTAACAGGTGATTAAGATAGGTTTTTTCCTAAAATTAAATGATCTGTTCCAAGCTTGGTGAACTGTAAAAAGTAAAAAGAAAAGGAGTACTTGTGGCACCTTAGAGACTAACCAATTTATTTGAGCATAAGCTTTCGTGAGCTACAGCTCAACGTGAGCTGTAGCTCACGAAAGCTTGTGCTCAAATAAATTGGTTAGTCTCTAAAGTGCCACAAGTACTCCTTTTCTTTGTGCGGATACAGACTAACACGGCTGCCACTCTGAAACCTATAAAAAGTAAGTAGCCTAAGGCTTTGTCTACACTGCACTTTCGTTGGTAAAAGTTTTGTGGTTCAGGGGTGTGAAAAAAAGCACATATCTCCAAATGACAAAAGTTTTACCGATGAAAAGTGCCAGTGTGGACAGCGCTTTGTCGGCGGGAGATGCTCTCCCTCTGACAAGGCTACCACCGCTCGTTGGGGGTGGATTTATTTTGTGGGTGGGAGAGCTCTTGCCTGCCGACAAAGAGTGGCTACACTGCACATCTTTTAGCGGCAGGGCTGTAGCGACAGTGTAGACATAACCTAAATGATAGAAAATAATTGTAGATTTTTCTACAATTGTTTCAACTGTTATATTCACGAGGTTGTAACAAAGTTACTAATACCTTTCTTTGAGAAGGTAACTGATTTTTTTAGCCAAAGGAAAGGCAGCAGATCTAATCTACCTGGATGTCAGTAAGGCATTTGATACAGTTCCACATGAGACATTGTTAAGTTGGAGAAGATGGGGTTTAATATGAGACCGGAAAGGTGTATAAGGAACTGGTTAAGGAGGAGACTACAAGAGATCATGCTGAAAGGTGAACTCTCAGGCTAGAGGGAGGTTACTAGTGGAGTTCCTTAGGGATGAGTCTTGGGACCAACCTTATTTAACATGTTTATTACTGACCTTGGCACAAAAAGTGGGTGTGCGCTAATAAAATTTGCAGATGACACAAACTTGGAGGACATTGCCAATACTGAGGAGGACTGGAATATCATACGAGAAGATCTGGATGACCTTTTAAACTGGAATAATAGAAATGGGATATTTAATAATGCAAAGTACAAGGTCATGCATTTCGGGACTAACAACAAGAATTTTTGCTATTAAGCTGGAGACTTATCAGTTGGAAGTGACAGAGGAGGAAAAACAGCTGGGTGTATCGGTTGATCAGAGGATAACTATGAGCCATCAATGTGATGTGGTGGTGAAAGAGGCTAATGCGGTCATATGATACATCAGGCAAGGTATTTCCAGTAGAGACAGTGAAGAGTTAGTACCATTATACAAGGCACTAGTGAGACTCATCTGGAGTACTGTGTGCAGTTCTGGTCTCCCATGTTTAAGAAAGATGAATTCAAACTGGAACAGGTCCAGAGAAGGGCTACTAAGATGATCTGAGGAAAGGAAAACCTGTCTTATGAGAAGATACTCAAACAGCTTGGCTTGTTTTGTATAACCAATAGATGGCTGAGGGGAGCTATGATTACTCTGTATAAATACACCAGAGGGCTAAATACTAGGGAGGGAGCAGAGTTATTTAAGGTAAGCATCAAGGTGGACCCCAGAACAAATACATATAAACTGGCCATCAACAAGTTTAGGCTTGAAATTAGGTGAAGGTTTCTAACCATCAGAGGAGTGAAGTTTGGAGCAGTGCGGGCAAAAAAACCTAACCGGCTTCAAGGCTGAGCTTGATAAGTTTATGGAGGGGCTGGTATGACAGGACTGCCTATAATGGCATGTGGCCCATCGGCAACTGCCGGTAGCAAAAATCCCCACTGGCTGGAGACGGGACACTAGATGGGGAGGGCTCTGAGTTACTACAGAGAATTCTTTCCCAGTTGTCTCCCTGGTGGGTCTTGCCCACATGCTCAGGGTCTAACTGATCACTATATTAGGAATCAGGAAGGAATTACCCCCCGGTCAGATTGACAGAGACCGGGTTTTTTTTTTACCATCTTCTGCAACACAGGGCCCAGGTCACTTGCAGGTTTAAACTAGTGTAAATGGTGGATTCTCTGTAACTTGAAATCTTTAAATCATGATTTGAGGCCTTCAGTAACTCACTGAGAGGTTAGGGGGTCTATTACAGGAGTGAGTGGGTGAGATTCTATGGCCTGTGATGTGCAGGAGGTCAGACGAGATGAGCACGATGGTCCAGTCTGATTTTAGTAAGAGTATCTGAGTAAGAAGATACAATTTTAAACCTATCCAGTGACCCTCAAGTGACTTGCCACAAGATGTCAGAACATGATAGTATTAGAGCTGAGTGGGCCTAATATTTATTTATTTTTCTTTCTTAATATAGAAATTAGATATAATGCGCCTGCCAGATATTTCTAAGTTATCTGCAAAAACACTAGAGTTTTCAGTTGCCTAAGTAGCCCCTGGAATTACTGTTAAAGTTGTGCCCCTCCCCATCTGAAATGGCGCCCCTGCAGGCACAGAATTTGTTGTCGCCCCCGGCCACACACAGCCCCATTGGCCTGACTGGAGCCGCCCTCCCAAATATAGACGTCAAACTACGTCCATGGTTATTAGCTAGTGCTGAGAACTGTGGGCAGACTGCAAATATTTTGCATTCATCATATAGCGTGCAGGTGAACATTTCTGTGCAAGCAAGTCCCTATGCACAGGGAGGGCCATGTCGAGGTGATTTACAGAGGGAGGTCACTAGAACAGTCTTCAGAGTTGCTATACTAATGTGACTGCTTGGGGGACAATTCTTGTAGCTGTTTATTCCAGGAACGTGCACATTGACTGTTTTGCTTTACTAGTCTGACACCCCGTCAGCACGGATGGTGGCCTAACATGCATCCACCCTTCCCCACAAATCCTACAGGAAGGGAGAGAAACGCAGGCATCAGGCAGGTGAAGCTGCCTTTCCCTTTCTGTTGGCATAGAGCTGAGCAGTTAGCAGGCATGTGGGGAAGGAGGCCCTGTGAGCCTTACATGATGAAGAAATAAGAGTCTCAGCCCCTGTCCCAGTACCTGACCAAACCAGAGGAGGGAGGACAAGGGTAATAAATCAGCTGACATGGGGGCCAGGTCAATGATGTGCACATCTGAATGGCTAATTTCTAAGTCACACCGCAGCTGTATGTGTCCTCTTCACCTCCCTTCCCATCTCACCCTGTGCAGGGCTTTGACAGGGTGAAGGAGGAGAGAGGATAC